CCCTACCGTCCCTACCCAAACCTACGCCCATGATTTCTGGGTCTCAAATTTAACAGAATTATTAAGGAACCACAATTGTTCATAATCTGTACTCTGTTTCTGTGTTCCCTGCAGATGTTCATCAGGTTCTGCTGGTTAAAGAAGAACTGAGTCCTGATCTGGACCAGAACCACCCAGAGCCTGTCCACATGAAGGAGGAAGAGGAGGAACCCTGGAGCAGCCAGCAGGGGGAGCCGCTCAGTGTGAAGGAGGAGGCTGATGCCTCCAGGTCTCCAGTCATTGCTGTTCTCATAAAGAGTGAAGATGATGAAGAGGAACCTCTGATCTCTCATCTTCATCAAGCAGAAGATGGAGAACTGCCAAGCAGCAGCTCAGCTCAGCAGAACCTGAAAGCAGAACCTGAGGGAGAGGAAGATGGAGAGGATGATGATGTGGAGCAGCCTGACTCGGGGTCTGAAACTGAAGACAGTGATGATGAGTGGAAGGAGAGCAGGACTCCTGAGTCAGGTGTCAACAGATCCCTGAGCTGCTCTGAATGTGGCCAGCAGTTTAACAACAAGCGCTCTCTTCAGAGTCACATGGCCGATCATTCAAGCTCAGCCAGTGAGGTCCAGCCACATCTGAAGCTGTATAGTTGTCCTGACTGCGGTAAATGTTTCAACAGGAAGGATTATCTCAACAAACACATGAAATGCCACACAGGAGAGAAACCCTACGGGTGTGATGTTTGTGAACAAAGATTTAGAGTTAAGTCTAAATTAAATCGACACATGAAAATTCACACAGGAGAAAAACCATTTAGTTGTGAGGTTTGTGAACAAAAATTTAGAGTTAAATCAAGTTTAAACAGACACATCAGAGTTCACACAGGAGACAAACCTTTTAGCTGTGACTTTTGTGAGCGAAAATTTCGTAATAAGTCAACTTTAAACAATCACATCAGAATTCATGCTGGAGAAAAAGCATTTATTTGTGATGTTTGCGAACAGAAGTTCAGGTTAAAATCAACTTTAAAAAGTCACATGAGAGTCCACACAGGAGACAAACCATTTATTTGTGATGTTTGTGGGCAAAGATTTACCGGAAAGTCTGCTTTAAACCGTCACATGGCAATCCACACAGGGGATAAACCGTTTGGTTGTGATGTCTGTGGGAAAAGATTCAGTGAAAATTCTCATTTAAACTGCCACATGAGAATCCACACAGGCGACAAACCGTTTAGTTGTGATGTTTGTGAGCAAAGATTTCGATTCAAGTCAAATCTAAACAGACACGTGAAAAGTCACACAGGAGAAAGACCTTTTGGATGTGAGGTTTGTGGACGAAGATTTTTTCAGAAGTCTGCTTTAAACGGTCACATGACAATCCACAGACGAGATAAACCATTTGGTTGTGATGTATGTGGTCGAAGATTTACTGCAAAACCTGCCTTAAGAAATCACATGAGGATTCACACTGGAGGAGAAACTGCTTAGGGAACAATAAATGCTTGTTCTGCCGTTCAAGAATGGGCTCTCTCTGGGTACTCCCACAGTCTAAAAAACATGGCTACCCAGCCGAATCGGTCTCTCTAAGCTGCCTTTGTGTGTGTCCGCACACTTTATGTTTGTTGTGTAGACACCAATGGACAGACACGTGAAAAGCCACACAGGAGAAAAACCTTTTGGTTGTGAAAGATTTGTCAAAAAGTCAGCTTTAAACCGTCACATGACAGTCAACATGGGATGAACCATTTGGCGTTTGTGGAAGAAGATTTAGTGAAAAGTCAAATTTAATGAGAATCCACACAGGAGACAAACCATATAGTTTGTGACATTTGTGAGCAAAGATTTTGATTCAAGTCCAATTTAACCAGACATGTACAAAGCCACACAGCAGACAAACAGGATTTATGGAGTGGTTTGCTTTAAATAGTCACATGGCAGTTCAAGAAGGAGGCAAATCATTTTCAAAAAAGACTGCTGTAAAAATCACATGTAGATACACAAAGGAAGAATTGTAAATTTTAAGACAATGCAGGAATGTTCACCCTTTATTAAACCAACAGAAATATTTTGTGATGCAGATTATTAATTGAGTTTAACTAAAGTTGATTGATCTCATTGATAGACTATCGGTTATTTAATCAGTGGCGATTTTCTTAAAATCCTGAGTTTAGGCTTAAAGAGGCTGGACTGTCCTTCCTTCTATGAAGGGCTATATTTTCATAAAATACTGAATTAAAAAACACTGACTGAATAAACAGAAAATTTTATTTCTCTCACATCATTAAATTTAGACATGTTCATAAAATATTACAGAACTTGAACCTGTTGGAGCGCTGATCAAGGGAGGAATCCGTTTCACTATTGGAGGAAAATTCTTTAAGAGCAGCTTTGGGGGTCTGCCAAGTTACAGTGAAATGTAACGTAAAATATGGCTTAAAACGTTTTTAATGTGTTCAGGCTGTAAGTGGTGACGCTAAACATGTTTTTGTCAGTAAACTGTTGAGATCCATAAAAGTCAAAATAAAACTTAAATGTTTAGATGAGCTTGTTTCAGAGTCACTGATATAACCTGTTACACCTTTATGAAAATTTAAAGCTATAAATAAAAACAAGTTTTAATGAGTGACTCCACTTACAAATACAAATTATTTACTTAATCTGTAAGTGGGTAGAAATAATGAATATCTTGGAAATAAAGAGCTCAAAGCACCAGAGTTTTTTTATAGAAAAATATCCAGATTTTTTGTGTCATTAGAGGCTCCATGTTGAGGATGGTAAGAAATAAAAACGTACTTTTTTTCTCTCTGCTCTCGGCTCCCACACACTGAGCTGTCAGCCACTCGCAGCGCTCAGCCCCTCCCTCCTGTTTCAAATTCTTCTCATTAACGTAAGAGTTAGAGGTAAATATGATTGAGATATTTGCTACGTTCGACAAACAAGCTTAGGTCTATCAACGCAATGCAGCCAGTTTTGCTAGTTTTGAGGCAGTTTATCATGATTCAGCCAAAGTGATGAAATGACAAACTACAGTCTGATTTCTGCTGTTAATGTGTTTCTTCCTGTTGAGCAGTGAAAGGAAATAAAAGCTTTACATATCTTTTACCTACTGGATTGTTTTTCTGTTTGTGCTGCAGAGCCACAGCTGTCAGCTAGCTGTTAGCTAGTTGACAGCTAGCTCCTCTCTTCAGCAGAGCCTGTATCGTTCCTGCTGTTGCTCCGCCCACACATCGGACTGAACCATTGTTCTAATAATGGGGGGTGGGAGTCCAAAAAATAAATGTTTAATTTTTTTCTTTGATGAATGGCGGATTCATTACTTTCTTTGTTTTTTTCATATTGATATTGTTACCCTCAAGATTTACGCCCATGGTGCTGATTAGAAAAATTAAATTTGAATCCCCCATTAGGAAGAGAACTGCAGGTAATGAAGTGGACAGAAACTGATGTCGCACTCCACTGTAAGATCAGTCTGCTGTCAAAGGTCAGCGCTGGGGCGACACCAGGAATCTTGGGCCCCCTGTAACTGCCTTGCTTTGTTTGGCCCAATACTGATACCAGCACAATATTTACCGCTCATGAATTTAACATCCAACAGTCCACATCCAGTATGCAAGTAGGTTGTTTAAATTTTTTTCTATTAGTT